GACGTCCTGCTGGTAGATCTCGGCGCAGCACTTCCCTTCTTGGTAGTCGACCTGACGTTGAGGGTCTCCGTCAGGTCCGCTTGGGAAACTCAGTGGCCACTCCCCCTGGCCTTGTCCTTCAAGAGGGCGAGGCGGGTCTGGAGCACCTGGATCTCGTCGAGCACTGCCGGGTCCACCTCGCTCTCCATCGTCTTGTGGGCCGCCTCTTCCTCCTCGGGATTGCTGCGCTTGGGTGTGATAATTTTCTGGTTCCCTTTTCCGCTGCGGTGAGGGGTGCTTGCGACTGCTTCCCAGGACCCCGTCGATGAGCTCCCCTTGTAGCCTCTCGTCGGTGGTGGGGACGACACTGCTCCTCTCCAGGCTGTCAGTGGTGTCTGGTGGGCGCTCTGGTTGCTCGAGTCGTCGTCCGGGAAGGGCGTCGGATCCACAAACTCTTCCGTCCCGTAGTTCTGCATCTTCTTCAGGGTGCGCTCCTTGTGGTACCACTTGGCGAAGCGGATCAGATCGGGGGACGCGTTGTCGCTCCGGTTCGCTTCGGCCACCGCCCACTCCCCGTAGGATGTTGGGACCTCCTGGAACTCGAAGCCGCGGTATCTCCCAAACGTCACTAGCTCGTTCGCCGGCGTGTTCACATTGTCCCGGATGAGTCACAGTAGGTTCCCTTTGGTGATCGCGTTGGGGTACTCCACTCCAATGGCATCCGCCTTCGTCTTGAGCTCCGACATCGTCAAGCCGGCCAGTCCTCGCATTGCCATCTTGCCGTCTTCGGTCTTGGACTTCTCCCTGTGCTCGCGCAGGATGGACTTCAACTCTTCGTTGGACCACGACTTGTGGACCACTAGCCCCACCCGGACTGCTTCGGCCAGGAGCTCGGTCTTGTTCATCTTGCTCAGCGCGGTCGTCGCGCATGGCTGTGAGCTCATCGTCCCGGGGGGCTTTGTGCGAATTGTTGCTAGGGGCAGTCTTGTAAAAGACAGTCCTTCCGACCCAAAGTTGCGGGAACGTGGGCTGCTCAAACTGTCCAGGACGCCAATGATCTAACACATGCTCGTTCCACCTTCCGGTTGCGCAACACACACTCTCTGTCATCCTAGTCTTTCCAATCATGGCAATCAACATGTCCTGCTGCATGGAGGCTGTCGTTCTCCAGTTTGACGGGTTAAATAGGGCTCTTCGAGGGACGATGTGGATTCTAACCCATGTGTTCGGTGTTTCTAACCAGAAGTCACGGTCAATCGGGGTCTGTTTCCACCACGCCAAGTAGGGATCTTGTGCTAGACGATCTTCACTGAGGAGATTTCGTACTGCGGGGTCAAGCTTCTTGGGCTGAAAGATACCTGTGAGGTCGGGCTTCAGGGGGCCTTGATAAGCAACCGCAAAAACACTCGTGTATGACTCCTTGGGTGCGAGCTCAAGGTCTTCGATCTCCAGTGCCGGTGTTGTACCAGCGCTGGCCTTTGCCGGGACGATAGGAATGGCTGGATGCCCGCTAGCGGTAGACATCAGCTCGAACTGCTTCAGACCGACCTTGTGAAAATCTGCCCTCATGTTCTCTACATCGAAAACCATGCCAAGCTTGCCGAGAGCCCCTTTCGAAAGCAAGAGCGGGATGTCTCCGGTGATGATGCTCGTCCTGACCTTCACGATCTTATCGCCAAGCTCAAAGCACACTATCACGTAAAAGGACGACACATGCACCCTTCCTGTCCCGAATCTGTACGCCTCGTTCTCCTTGTGCAGGGCTGGTCGTTCTCCATGCTCGGCAATGGCGTCGGCGTATGACTGCAACCATTGGGTACCTGCTACGGTTCGCGAGCAGGCAGTGTCCGCCACTCCAAGAAGCACATG